TTGAAGGAAATGTAATAACATTCCATTAAATTATGCACAATAGGAAGAAATGTGTTTGTTGTCCTCTTCTTTGTCTGTTATGGAGGAGCTCCTGCTGGATCTTTTTGTGGACAAATCTAACAGGAGCTCCTTCATAACAGACAAAGAAGAGGACAACAAACAAGTTTCTTCATATTGTGCATAATTTAGTGGAATGTTATTACATTTCCTTCAACTTGTTTTTTTTAAACTAGTGAACTCCCAAACTTGATATTTTTGCCTAATATATCAGTTACTTCCAATACTAAATCATTTTTGTTATTTTTTTTACTACTCCAACTCTATTATGCCTTTTCAGAGGTACTATAAGTCTTCTTTCCAAATGTCATACCTACGTATTTTGAAATACTTAAATCATAGGGCATTCCATAGTTCATAGGCACAATAATTTTCATTTCAGGATGCAATGTTGCATGTCAACAAATTATTGCTTTCTTTCTGATGACTTTGTTTTTTAAGGAGCCTTGCTCCTTCCTTCCACAATAAGCCTTATATAAATCATATTGTCAATTTAGACAGGTAATCTGTATTAAAATGTTAAAGCAGACGACATTTACAATCAGTTTAGAATGTGGCCTCCTACCCACATGGTTCAGTAATTTTGGTAGATTTGATTGTGATCTAGTAATCTTTATATTCAACATCTCATTCCATTAACTATATTAGGATGAGAACCTCATCCATTTTTATTTTCTTTTTTGCTTATTCTTCCCCTTTTTTGACTTTATTCTTTATTTTTGTCTCTCACCAAGCTCTTTCCTAAGACTGTAGATTGCTCTATAGTCTAGGTATTTCTCAAGGATTTCATCACAACTGCAACATTAATATGATATATTTGAACCACCCAGAAGGTTCTACCCCTATTTAGAATATACTTATAAATACTGGTTATGAAAAACAGGTACTTGCATATGTAAAATCAACATACATTGGCTACCCACTCTATTAGTTGATTACTTTAATAAATTTAAAACTGGTGAGTCATAGTCAAAATTAAAACATTTCAAACATATTAATGATCTCTTTCCATGGTTGTTGATGACTATGGTGGGAATGGCCCAGCTGGGAACAACCGCCTACAGCCGTGATGTTGAACCTATGGCACGCTTGCCAGAAATGGCATGCAGAGCCATCTCTCTGGGCACTCCAGGTATCGCCCGTTGCTCTTCCAGGTTCTGACATGCACATGCACCCTAGCTAGCTGGTCTTCAGGTGTGCGGGAGTGCTGGAAATCAAAAGAGCAACTCCCTGACGTGCATTTGCACACTGGGATCTGAGCTTCTGATTTCCAGCACATGCACCAGCCAACTGGTCTTCATGTGTGCATGTGCACCAGAAACTAGAAACCATGACTGACGTGCATGCGTATGCCGTAAACTGGAAGCGCAGCTTCCTGGCATGTGCATGCACTCTGGGGAGCTGTCTTCCAGTTTCTGGCGCTCTTGCACATGCGCACCAGGCAGCTATTCATCTTGTTTCTGGTGTACTCCCTGCTCACACGTTCTGGTTTCACCACTCGGTGCCAAAAAGATTCGCCAACACTGGCCTATGGACTCTTATCCAGCTATCTGGCAGTCCATGTGAGATTTCAAGCAACTTGTAGACTAAGGACTGGATGATTAAATGGATACATTCTGAGCCAAGAACACATAATCTATAACTTTAAAAAGTTTCAAGGACTAACTTTCCAAAGTCTAAATAAAAAATGAATTTTACATAAAAGAGTTGGAGGATACATGTGTTGCTGCTTAAAATTCTGTACTTTTGAATATTGCAATTTCACCATCAATAAAATAACAAAATACATCTAAGGTCATCTGTCTCAAAGAGATAATCTCATCTTGTCTCTCAAGGCTTCCATTCGTCCACAAGCAAATAATATACTTCTTTATTGACAGAGAAATTGTGATCAGCGTGATGGTGTGACTCAATCGAATATGGGATATAACTCCTGCACAGGAGAGAAGATTGCAGATGGTGATTACAGAACAACTACCAATTGTGGAGGGTGAGTATGCTAAGTAGGCAAAGAACTGTGTAAGAGTAGTTGCAAAGGAGAAAACATAAAGAATGGTCAGTTTTCTATCAACCTGGCTTCTCACAATGTGGACCTATGTGATCGTTCATGAAAGCGCTTGGCATAATGAAATATTTCAGAAGACAATCTAGGACCCTGCTTATGGATTTAACTATTAGGCTTTTATACTCATACTGTTGTTTTCAAAATTATTGCAATAGATCATATAATACAAATGTGAAACCAAAATCAAGTTAAATGCAAATATATCATAATATAAATATGTGCAGGTGGTGACAATTTATTCTCAAGAATAAATATTTGCCTGTTATGGTTGGTTGCACAATCAGCAAGATATTTAAACTGGATTTGACATTTTTATTTTAAAATGTTTCTTGGTGTTAAAGGCATCATCACAAGATGTAAAAGTAAAGCTGTCTTTTGTAGCTGACCAATGATGATTTTGTCAATGCCAGTGGTGTTCAAATGGTGCTCCACTCGTTTTGGGATCACATCTAAGACATTTATCACTTATTTTCTATCGTTTTGTGTTCCTTCCAGTTGTTGTTTGCAGGCAAACCATATTTCTTGAGATCTTCCAATGCACCATTGTTACTATTTTTTCATGCCATTGTTTCTATGAGAAAATTCAGTCTATCAGAACTTCTTGTAGCATCTATCTGGGTGGTCTACTGTTTCTTCAGCTTATTTGCAGAATTGGTGTTTGATGTCTGTTGCTGTTTTCTCAATTCTGGTTTTGTATATACTT